AAATCTAACAGTTATGGGCTTAAAGAGGAGGTAGAGAGATTGAGGCGGAAGGTTTATTAAAACAAATAATAACAGACTTTTCCAAGGCTACAGAAAGATACCAATATTCAGGTGCAAAAAGGTCAAGAACACAAGCAGATTTAACCCAAACAAGGCTCCCTCAAAGCAGCTAATATTAATGAGCAAGCACCCAAAGGACATGGATAAAGAAAAGGTCCAAAAGGATGCAAGAAAAAAGAAAAAGAAAAGGAGCTCCAACACCATCTGGCAGCAGTCTTCTCAGTGAAAACCATACAGGCCGGACAGGGTGGTATGACATAAAGTCCTAAAGGAAAAAAACCTTAAGCTTATACCTTGGAAATATATCAAACAGGAAGGAGCAATGAAAACCTTCCCAGACAAACAAAAGCTAAAGGAAGAAATGCTAAAAGGAGTTCTTCAATCTGAAAGAAAAGTATATTAATGAACAATAAAAAATCACCTGAAGGTGCACAGCTAACTGGTAACAGTAGACACACAAATACAAATTACTCTACTGTAAACTGTACTGTAAATATAACTTATGCCTTAAGTAGGAAGACTAAAAGACAAACCTATCAAAAGTAACTACCAGAAGTTTTTGACAGACAGTATAAAAAGATATGGACGGAACATCACAAAGGCAGGGGAAGGATGCAGTTAAAGGGTAGAATCTGTTATTAGATTTTTCCTTGCTTCTTTGTGTGAAAGTAGAGTTGTCATACATTTTAAATAACTGGTTATAAAATGTTATTTGTAAGACTCATGGATAACCTCAAATCAAAAAACCTACAATGGATACACAAAGAATAAAAAGCAAGAAATTAAAATGGAAGGAAGGAAGGGAGGAAGGACCTCTATATGTCTATCAGATAAAATAGATTTCAAGACAAAAATAGTAACATGAGACAAAGAAGGTCATAAAGTAATGATAATTGAGTCAGTTCAGTAAGAGGATATAACAATTCTAAATAGGTATGCACCCAACATTGGAGCACCCAGTTATATAAAGCAAATACCATCAGAGCTAAAGAGATAGACCCCAATATAATAATGTTTAGGCAACTCAACACTCCACTTTTAGCACTAGACGGATCATCCAGACAGAAAATCAAAGAAACATTGGACTAAACCTGCACTATACACCAAATGAACAATTTACCCAATTGCTGTAGAATATACATTCTTCTCTTCAGCTCATGGATCATTCTCAAGGATACACCATATAATAGGTCACAAACTAAGATGTAAAAATTTTTTAAAAACTGAAATCACACTAAGTATCTGCTCTAACCACAAAACTAGAAATCAGTAACAAGAGGAACACTGGAAAATACACAAACACATGAAAATCAAACAATACATTCCTAAGTAAATAGGTCAACAAAGAAAATAAGAAGGAAATTAAAAAAAATCAAAACAAATGGAAATAAAAATACAACCTATCAAACTGATAGAATACAGCAAAAACAGTAAGAGGAAAGTTTATAGCAATAGGTGCCTTCATAAAAAATTAGTTTATTTGTATCACAAAGAACTAGAAAAATTAGATTAAATTAAACCTTAAATTAGTAAAAAGAATAATAAATATAAGAGCAGACATAAATGAAATAGGAACAAAAAAATCAATGAAACAAAAAGTTTTTTTGAAAAAATAAATAATATTGACATACCTTGGTCAGACTAAGACAAAAGGATAGAAGACCCAAATAAATAAAATCAAAGATGAAAAAGGAGCCATCACAGCCAATACTGTAGACAATCATTAGAGGCTTCTATTAGCAACTATATGCCAATAAATTGGAAAATCAGAAGAAATGGATAAATTCCTAGACACATACAACCTACCCAGGTTGAACCAGGAAGAAATCCAAAACCTGAATAAACCAATAACTAGTAATGAGATAAAAGTGATAATAAAAATTCCCCCATAGACAAGCCCCCCAGGACCTGCATGCTTCACTGCTGAATTCTATAAAACATTCAAAAAACTAATACCAATCCTACTTATTCCAAAAAATCAAGGAGGAAGGAATATTTCTAAACTCATTTTATGAGGCCTGTATCACCCTGATAACAAAACCAGGCACACAACAAAAAAAGAAAACTATACACTAATATTTCTTATGAAGATCAATGTAAAAACTCCTTAACAAAATACTGGCAAATCAAATTCAACTACACATTAAGAAGATTATTCATCATGATCAAGTGGGGATCATTCCAGGAATGCAAGGAAGATTCCACATATGGAAACCAATCAATGTGATAAAACTGCACAGTCATTTCAATGGATGCTGAAAAAGCATTTGAACATTTAACCTTGCTTGAAAATTTAACATTGTTTTATAATAAAAACTCTCAAAAAATTGAATATAGAATGAATTTACCTTAGCATGATAAAAGCCATATATGACAAACCCATACTGAGAACAATACTGAATGGGGAAAAACTGAAGCCTTTCCTCTACTACAGTGATTTACA